TAGATAACTAATGTTTATTTATTTAGACTTTTCTACATTATAAAACCTAACCAATAGCTTAACCTTAAAACCTAAAGTAGGAAGGCATGAATAACCTGCATTTAAATGACAGCACTTCATATCCTGATGCCATATATATGGTTTGCCATCTTCCCAAGTAATTGAAAATTTAGTTGTTATCCAAGTAATATAGAACACAAGACTTAAAATAAATTTGTTAAACATATGGAGAAGTTTATAACAGGGACACTGTTTATACTTTTTAAAAAAGAATTCCCACACCTCTACATCAATTACTCACAAAATACATTTTGGACACTTGGTATGCTCTTGTATATCTCCAAATTATTAATTCAACACTTAGTTTCAGATATCACATTTATATGAGTACATGTCATTTATAAGTACCATTTTCATATAATCTTTAATATTATGCAACATACACAACATAGAACAAATTTACATAGAGTAATTCAAGCTTGTAAAATTTAAAAATGTGAAACATGTTTGTGCAACAATGCTGCTCGGTTAAAGCACATGAATCATAGTCTTAAAAAATTATTCCATACAAAAAAAAAATAATAATAATAATAATACACTAGTAAATTACATAACACGTCATATTCTCAGAGTGAAAATTGATATACAATGTTGCTATGAAAGAATCGTCCCATCCTTCTTTGGTCAGTGTCTTTTCTAGACTCCCCCCAAAGGTAACATATTGCAGCACAGGCAAAACTTAATGCTTGGCCAGAATCAAATAGTCTATAATTTTGTGCAGGTTAGATATATTATTGCTCTCTGTCATTCATTTGTGAGCCAACACCCTGTGCAGCAATTCTCCATGGTGAGGTGCTAACTAAACTCATTCTGTAACTAAGGTAACATATTTAAAAGCTAACTACAACTTTATAGAACCAAAATGTGATTCAGAAATTAAAAGGGGTTCAAATCAATGCCCATCCTTTTCATATCTTACTCCAACTCATTTTGCTGTCTTAGTATTACATCAAGAAATCAAATTTGGAATAAGTAAAGAAACATACATTTGTTTAATAATGTCATTTTAAACATGCTTGTTTTCCATTCATCAATTCCCTTGCTGTAAAATTCAATACTCTGCTGAAAATACAGAAATTTTATTTATCACATTGATATCCTAATTTGAAAGATTTGATTGTATAATACTATCTATTCTGTACTACGAACACACACGGAGTCAGCTGATCCGCATGTCTTCAAACTGACTACTGGACGGAGTATGTCTGGAAGATGGAGGGAGAAAAACATTAGTATCTATTAAATACGTAGGATGCATGACACAAAATTTAAAAATAAAAATGTGAAAACAGTAAAATTTCTTTAATGCTATTTTCCTTTCTTTTAAGTTGCTTATTAGTCCATTTCATAATTGGAAATGAATATTCTATATTCCAAAATAATATAAATTATAGCATTAACTTCCTACAATATCACAAATGAAACAAGTCAAAGGTCAAATTAGCTACATTACATATACATATATACAACTGATTCAATTAATAACTATGTGCCCCTCAGTTCTTGTTCTTATGCAATACTTAAATCTATGAAATAATTTCTCCCCTGCAAGCAAATGCCTTCCTCACACTCTCTTTTATGAAAGGTTAATTCTGTGGCATCTTATCTGATCCTATATAATTTTGCTGAGACTATTAAAAGAAAATATTTTTAAAATTTGAACATTCACTTGCCTGAGCATAATCATTTCTATACAAACAATGATTTAATGGACCTTCTCTTTCAACCAACAAAGGAACTGAGGATTGAGTCACAAATAATGGAAAAGGCCACAAGTTTAATAATCTTAACATAATAATTCAAAACCATAGTCAGTATCATTCAATATATTATGAGCATTTCACTTGTAATGATCATAACCGCACAGACAAGCAAAACTCTTGAATGAGATATCATACCAATATCATGATTTGAATTCCCTCGAAAATGAGCGGATTGTCCAAGGAAGTAAGAGCAAGCTAAAGGCAAACTGACAAGAGGATACATGAAGCACAGAGAATACTAAAAGGGCCTGGCAAATGAAGATAATCGGGAGTTTTATGACAAGGCATCATGAAAACTTTTGGTAATCAACTCACTCATATGAACTACAGGCATAATGCAGTATAACCTCATTTGTTAATTATCTTCAAATATATATTTCTTCATTAACCCCCCCCTAAAAAAAAAAAAAAAAAAAAAAACAATAATGATAAATACTAATATGATTCTAAATTAAGAACTTTTTACTAAATCACCCTAAGATGAAAGAGCAAGAATCCCAAATTTTTGATAATGAAGAAAATATTATCCATACCTATACTTTTTATACTGATATCTGAATATATATCAGATTACATTTTAGAAGATATCTATAACATTCTAAGCAAATCTTATGAAAAAATAATGAAGTAAAAGATCTTCAATAAACTAACCTAGGTAAAAAACATACATATTTAATATTCAGGTAGGTATACATACATGTGTATGTGTATCGACACATGCAACTTGTCGACACAACTTACTAACCATGCATGGGGATGGGGCGCGAACCACACAATCGCTGTCGCTAATAGTCATAAAACTCACTGAAACGCACATAAAATAAGGGTTACTTTCAAGTCAAAAAATTATGCAAATCAGTACTTGCACTTCTGGAAAAGCAATTTCCACAGCAATGCTCATACATTCTGGAGTTCAAAATAATTAGCACCATAACTTTATTGACTGTATTCTGCAATCACAGAGGATACAGCATGTAAGAACATACTCCATCCTGGCAGTAATGGGTTAAAGGTGTCATAACCATGTATAATAAAATACCAACATTTACACTTGTGCCGCAACCTGAATTTGATCCTGCTGGAGTACCTAAATAATATGACTTTTTATACATATTCTTTTGCTATGTTGTTTCTCTATTTCATTGTATTCTATTCAGTAGAGTAATTTTATGTATAACTTTTTATAACATCCTTTATTCAAATATTCAAGAAATTCTTTATGAGCATCAAAAGAAATAAATTTAAAAAACATATCAGAAATTATATGATCCTATATCCCTCTTCTGGAATCTCACTTTATCAGGAGAAACCTATCATAAACATAATACATAGTTGTGTCAATTTCTTAAACGAAGAGCTATTCGTGAAAAGAGCTAAATCAGTCAGCTGCAGACACCCTCAGAAAATGGATAGGTCATGCTCAGAGCTTGCTCCATACCTACAGAAAGATAGCTCTTATTTATCGCCATCATTTTAGTAACTGTTTTTATTATTAACATTTTCACCATTATCATTATCATCATCACGGTCATTTTCATTATATATTTTTTTCTATCATTATTAGTATTATCATTATTATTATTATTATTATTATTATTATTATTATTATTATTATTATTATTATTATTATTATTATTATTATTATTATTATTATTATTATTATTATCATTATTATTATTATTATTATTATTATTATTATTATTATTATTATTATCATTATTATTATTATTAATATTATTATTATTATTATCATTATTACTATTATTATCATCATTACTATTATCATTATTATTATATATCATTATTATTATCATTATCATTATTATTATTATTATGATTATCATTATTATTATCATCATCATTATTATTATTATTATTACTATTATCATTATTATTATAATTACTATTATTATTATTATTATCACTATCATCATCATTATAATCATAATTACAATAATAATAATCATTATCATTATCATCCTTACCATTACTATTATCATTATCATTATCTTTATCATTATTATCATTATTGTCATTACTATTATTATTAAGATCACCATCATAATCATTTTATCATTATTATCATTATCATTATCTTAATCATTATTATTAGTACTACTACTATTACAATTATTATTGGTATCATTATTATCATCATTTCTATCTTTTCTTTTATGTAATAATTACTGATAACATTGTCATTATTGTCTTGTTCTTACTCCTACTACTATTACTGTTGTTACAATTACTATCACTGTAACACCATAATGGTAGTTATAAGAATAAAAATAATAATAAGCACTAATGTCATCATCATAATCATCACTATCAACATCCTTAATAAATCAGTTATTACCATCGTCTTTATCAATATTATCTCTAATCACTTGTATTACATATCATTTTATAATCATTAATATTATCCTTTTCATCTTCTCTCAACCTCTACTGACCATGGCCTTTGAATGTTGCAAGTTTGGTTTATACATGGTTAGTAAGACAACCTTCCTACATTATAAACATGTTAAAACAATCTATAGTTATGTATGATATTGAGGAGAATCTTATACTGTATCCATAAATCATCATAATAGCATTAGAGAAGACAAAGTACAATAAAATCTCACAAAATAAAAAGAATAAATAGGCTCTAGGAATACCGTAAAAAAATTCTGTCTGAATTCCAAAAATATATGAGCAAAAAGTGCAGCATCATAACAAAGCAATATCTGTCAAGTACTTGGTTATACTGTAAAGGATAAAGCAATCATCAGTCACTACTGAAATGAACATAAATTTTAGAGATACATTATACATAAAGGTGCCTCAAACTGCAGACCTCCTTAGTATTATACACTTCATTTAAATAAAATCTTCAAAATAGAATAAAAATCACAAAGCCAATGTGAAACTGATAAACAGTAAAACAAAAGAAAACAAAAATACAGAAAAAACTAACTCATTAAACATAACATTGCTCTACCACAAAACAATTTACTTCTGTTTGATAAAGAGTCAAGTGAGGTCTCAGTATCTTTTGACTGTGTTAAAAGAGTTATTTATCAAGTGTAGCTCTAAAATGTATGTTCATTTTATACAAATTTTCAAAAATCTGTATTCAAGGAATATAATGCCATGCAGTAAATAAAACTACATATGCAAGATGCATTCAGACAAACTTGTATACATATTTGTGCTTTTGCTTTCATTTTTTTTTTATCTTCCTATAAATATATAATATATATCACATATTATTCTTCATATTTGATGTACCATGTGTGTGTGAATGCACATGTATCAATGTAAATTTTCCTTAAAGTTACTAATAAAGATTCCATTTTTCACATCAAATAATAAAAATCAATTATTAACATTTCAAAATTATGTGTTATGGCATTTACAGAAAGCTCTGGCAATAAAAGAAATACAACTTTTTATTGATATCTACACAACTCTGAGAACTTGGTTTGGCAGTTCCTCCCTGCATTCCCTTGAGAGCATAAAAAAGGCACATTTCAACAGCAAAAGTAAGTGCACTAATAACAAAATACATCCTGTTCTCTCAGTAACAATTTGAACAAAGAGATGTATTCTATTTTTTTCATTAGCATTTATTTGTATTTGAAAGGGGTGCTACAAAATCTGAGTAATGGCAATTTACAAATGGAAAAGAAACCCTCACATTCATATTTTTCTTTATCATAGTATCACAAAGCAAGGCACTCACAGTCACAAGTAAATGCCTAAATATCCAAGCTTTCTGGAGAAAAGTATAGCTCTTTTTCTCTCCTGACAACCTCAGAATGAAAGGCCTGAGTATAACTTCTTGTTGTAAATGTAGCTTACTTAGTGGTTACAAAGCTTGCAAAGGGATCTAACAACAATAAAAAATCATGTTTCAAACCTGTTGCCAACATTGCTACCCATGGGGACACGGCGGGAAGATGCCTGGCGCTGGCGTGAGAGGAAGGACTGACCCTGGTCCATTGTGGTGAGCCGCTGATTTATCATCTGCCTGTGCATTTGCATGCCCTGAAAGCAAAAACAAATCCAGAGTTCATATTTCTATGATACTACTGAGCTTCAAAGCTAATGCAAAAAGTATTCTTATACTTAACAAAGGTGAAGGTATGAAAAATAGTCATGTTTGTATTATCCCTTGGATTTATGGGATATCATGAAAAATTTTTGGCTGAGGGCCAGGTGACGGGAATAAGTGGTCGTGGAAAAATTTGGCTAAGAGCTGGGGTGACAGGAAAATGCTGTCATGAAAAAATTGGCTGAAGGCCAAGTGAAAGGAATGACACACTACAAGAGCATAAAGCTCCTTGAGTGTGATTAAACTCAGTAGGCATTTAAGAAGGGCCTCTAGCATTATTTCCATTGGTAAAAGAGTGTGGAATGTATCATCCATGTGCCATGACTGGAAGAGCATCAGCTCCGGGGAGTATACTACTTCCATTCTCAGGATCTTATTCCTGTCTGCCATGACCAGTGGTGCAGATAATTACAGATAATTGAATATTACAAAAACAATTTTAAAAATACAAAAAATGACATTCTACTTCCATTTTGATATAGTATATCAAAATGACAAATCTAGACCTTGAAAAATAGAAAAAAATATCAAAAACATTTATCTACAGACAGAGATAATAACAATTCAAACAGCAGACAAAGAGTTTGCGTGGGCAAGGCCTACAAGCCACACACCCAGGAGAGCCACAACTCAAGTAAGCCTAATGCTCAGATTTTGTGCCATTTTGTGCAGGCAGCGAGGTACCCGAATCCAACAGATGAAAATGGCATAATTACAGGCTATGTCCTATGCAATTTTAGTTTATCAATTATATTTATACAGTGATAGCTGTATGAGGGCTTAGTCACCAGGGAGTCAATTATCAGTCCTATCTATCTCACCTTCTACACTTTTCCTTGATCTTCATAACAATTCTTTTAAATCATATAACTATCCTTATTGTTATATCTTAATGACATTAAGCTAATCAAACTGTTCATAGCAATAATAATGGTGCCAATATCAAAAGCATCAGAATAAAAAATCTGCAAAGTCAAGGTATTGGGAATAAAAGGCTAAAACCTTTTGGTAGAACAGTGAAAAATTTACTTTGCTTTCTTTCTTATCCTTCTACTAAACTGTTCAGGATAAAAAAACGAAATATTTAAAATGAAAAAAAAGAAAAAAGAAAAATAATAGTAATAGTAATAATAACAATAACAATAATAACAATACAATTATAATTAATAATAATAATAACAATAATAAAAATAAAAATAATAATAATAATTAAAAAATATATATATATAATAATATCAATAATGTCAATAATAATAATAATAATAATAAATAATAACAATAAAATAATAATAATAATAATAATAATAATAATAATAATAATAATAATAATAATAATAATAATAATAATAACAATAATAGTAATAGTAATAGTAATAGTAAGAAGAATAACAACAACAATAATGATAACAATTATATAACATAATAATAACAATAACAATAACAATAACAATAAATAATAATAATAATAATAATAATAATAATAATAATAATAATAATAATAATAATAATAATAATAACAATAAAAACAAATATGAAACTACAAAATTTGGATATGACTTCAGCCCCCAAGTCTTTTCTCTCAACTTACAAAATTGTAGAAGGCAGTGGTAATCAGCTTTTCTTCCATATCACGTATCATTTTGGTCTTCTCATTTTCACGCTGAAATGAAATTAAAAATTAAGATGGCATTCCTTATAGTACTGCCTGTGCCTAGTTAAATTTAGAGTATGAGAAGAAACTGAAAGAAATTTTATTTTGTAGCCATTTTAACAGCTCTCTCGCTCTCACCTCCAGATTCTCAATAATGCGTTCCTTTTCATGGATAGTTGACCTGAGGTTTGAGACATCAGGAACAAGAGCTGGGTTGTGCTTGGGGTCAAGTGTCTTGATAACAGACTTGGCCTTCCCAAGATACTTTTTGTACCTCTCTTCCATGGCTGCCATCTCACTTTCCTTCTTTGCTAGACTTTCTTCCAGTGATGCAATCCTCTCACCTTTTGCAAGAGGGACATATTAACATCACACTAATAAGCAAGTATTAGTGTTATTTCAGTCACACTCTATAATGTATAATATGTGGAGATGCACATAACATGTCTGAATTGATAATGCAAATAAGTTCAGAAAAATCATTAACATAAATCAGCATTTTACAATTTTATACAAAGGAAATAGACCTCTTAATGTCTTTCAAATTCAGATACCCCTTAAAAAGGTATAAAAATATTCTGAAACAATAAAGAATGAAAAACAGACTTACTTTGCTCTGCCATCTTACAATTTTATACAAAGGACATAAACCTCTTAACGTCTTTCAAATTCAGATACCACTTAAAAATGCATTAAAAGATTTTGAAACAAGAAAGAATGAAAAACAGACTTACTTTGCTCTGCCATCTTTCTATCTAAATCACCATTCTTTCCTCCTGCAGACCTTGATGGTGATGCTGCAGCCATGGCCATAGGAGCCATAACTGATGATGCCTTTGCCTCTTCCACCTCACTCTCTAGCTCCATAATGCGATGATTCAGTTGTCTGCCAGGAGGTTCAAGTCAAGTGTAAGCTAAAGATTCTGGGTTCAAAACGGTATTTCAATTTTCAGGTTAAAAAAATATTGGTGGACCTCAAGAGAAAAGCTGCCCTGGAAATTTTTCTACCTCTTCAACATTCTATGAAGGAGATCCCTTTGTTAGTTTCTCTCTCTATTCTTAGAAGACCATATTTTCCATTTAAAAAGATACACATGTGTATTCCCCTGTACATTTTTTTATACATTCCTTTGTGCATTTTCTCTATAACTAGCACCTTTCTCTAGAGGGAAAAGTACATTTACTGTCTTCATTTCATTTAAACCTGCTATATATGAAGGAAGTTTTGTCATCTTTACAAGCTAAGCAGTCTAGCTCTACCTCATGACTACCTTCCTCAGTTTAACCTTTTAATTGGAAAATAACAAGACACAACACATGGACACAACATCCCTTCATGAGCATTTTCAAACCACCTAATCAGGCTTTTTCAAACTCATAAGAAACCTGTAATAAATAAGAGGAAGCAAAATAAAGAATACACAGTACTACCACGCAGGAGACATGTCAAAATATATACTACATAAGTTATAGAAGAAAGCACAAAAAAAAATTAAACATTGGTGAACTCCATGCAGAAACAAAACATATTCAAATCAAGTACCAAAGACTTCATTAATGTTTTACCAGATATCAGTCATAAAAAATATCAGTTACAACCTATACACATACTTGTACATATTCATAATATTTGCCTCTGCATTTGAATTTCAACTCGTGTGTATTTGAGAAATGGGATACCATAAACTGTATACACACCTATGTATGCACATAACACACATAGACATCAAACAGAAAATCTTCTAACCTGATTACATTACTTAAATACCATTTCTTCCATTTTTACCAAAATTAATATCATGAACTCCAGAGATGATACAATCTGAAATGCAGAAATAACAGTATGATGTAATTCTGCCTTGAAGGACCTCTTATCAAATCAACTGCATAGGAGTAGACATTTTATTTCCCTGGCTGCAGTGATTCTTTTAGGTCTTTCACTGGTGTAATCAAGTCAGTATCAAAAAATTTTCATTAGAAAACTATGATGACAGAAGCATCATGTTATAAAAATACATACATATTGCAAAAGCTGCCCAAGGATTGCGTACACGAGACACATGTATAATACACCTTTTCTGTGTTTGTAATCCTATCATCAGATATCAAGAGTGAATACAACAATTAGTTTTCTTCATTATCCTTTGTATTTTTCCTAGGATAAGTCACATGTGACCATCCATACTTTGGCCTTTACGTAAGCATTCCCATGTAAACAAACCCAAACTTTCTGGCATGGCAATGCTCTCCATTAGAGCATTATGCCAAGGTCAACATAAGATCATCACAGCAAAAATTCAGCATTCATATATGTGAAAGTATCTTAAAGAAAATATTACAGAATGTCTAAAACCATACTTCAGACCTAAAGCATCCAATCAACTAGGCCTGTGTTATAGTGATATTTTTCAGATAAGCAAGTAAATACCTATTAGATATAAACAATGCCATTCAAATACTTCTTATGAGCTCCAGTCAAACCTGTGTTTTCACCTTCCTGTTGTAGGATCACTTTTTTCTTTCCTTTTTATATGGATGAATTTCACGTCTATAAACATTTATCAATCTATTTTGCATTTCGCTGAACAAAGTTTACTTGGTGTCATATTAATTTTGCACAAATAGAAGTTCAATTTTCCATATTTACTTATGGTGCCATCATCGTCGGCAAAGCTCTTCCCAACCTCTTTCTAGTGGGTTCACCATTTTGCAGATTTCTATCCTTTTTCATGAAGAAACCATTGAACTGGGAACTCTTACTTTCTTCATTTTCATAGCTACTTAAGAAAGACAGGTGGCCACCTTTTGTTCTGTTTCACAATAGGAGGCTATATAAAATGAGTAGACAGCATGCCAGGAGCCAAATAATATATGTGATGAGTAGATCATGGACTGTTTTATGACCAATATGAAAGGTGGATTTAGTCAACTCACATACTTAGAGAAAGCTTTTAGCAACAAACGAGTGCAAGAATGTCTTTATCTGCAGTCAATGCACAGTGGCACCCTTAATGCCATAGATAAACAATAAATCTGTCTCTTGGTATCTAGGCTTACCATTCTTTCACTGATAAAATTCCAATTAGCATTTTATGTAAGGAAACTTTCTTCATCAGACCACTGTAGTGATGTGTCACTAGAAATATAAGTAAACTTTTAAAAGAGAGAGAGAGAGAAAAAAAAAATTGTTGAGTCGCAAATCATCTGGCACAGGTAGAGCGACACATGGCCTGCGGATCACATTCAAGCATGTGACAGGCCTCATGATCAACACCCCTGCTCATTACACTTCATATTATGTAAGAATGCAATTATGTAATTTTGTATACACCTTTTTCATGTGTAAATTTCACAAGACTGCCATCAAAAAAGTCTCACTTTTGTAGAATCCTTCCTAAACATGGTTTGTAAAAAAGTAAATAAATAAATAAATAAAATGTATTCTGCTTTCTATTCCCTTGTAATATGAGAAAAAAAAAATTACGAGATACAACACTTAGAAGAATGGTTTTCACCATTATGTATATACCTTCCAATATTTTGAAATAATCTCTATTCATGATTCTTTGGTCATATCATGGCATCTCCATAATATTTCCCTCTATTTAGTTGGGTGCATATCTTTTTCAATTGTCATTTAAATCTTCACCTGCTAGAAAATGGAAGAAAACTTTCATTTTTGGATAAAGTTGTGTTGCAACTTTCATACTGCCCAAGACCCATTCATCTACAAAGAAAACATTATTTCTCTGTATCAAAGGATAATTTCCAGTAACCATATGCTAGAATATGACAATACATTCTTCTGTTTATGTTTTGCTGTGTTATCTGAAGAGTAAGTTTACTGGTCTTCTTTCTTGCTTGGGAACAAATAATTTTGTGAAGATAAAGCCCTGTGTTCATCATATTTGTCTTATCATTTTACACAAAAGCTCTCTAATCAAGAGCCAATACTGCTGGAAGTTTGTTTTGCAGTATCACAACAGTAAATCAATTTATAAGTGTTATGGGAATCACTCATTGAAAAAACATTGGATACTAGCTATATATCAATTAAAATATCTTTCTTTTTGTTTAACTTTCTGAAGTTCCAGATTTCTGTTATGTATCTGGTAGCCACACTGATGTGTACAACTTGAGGAATAAATGCAATTATATCAGTATCCTCATTACGATGAAAAAACATAGAGCCAAACTTCAATCAGGAAATGAAAATTTTCACAATAAAACTAAATAACCTCAAGTTCAGTTTCCAGCTCCTTACAGCCTAGTCCAAGGAAAGGCTCTGATATTCATTCTTACACTGTTATTGTAGATGATGACTTAACTTATGTTTGTAATAGATGTATACAGTTTTGATGGAAGCCTGATACATGTTTTCCAGAACTTGTAAAGAAATACACAGAGTTATGCTGCAACTACTGGGAATAAATGCACACAGACTTCTCAACATTACATGAAAATGTCACCACATCATTGATATTGACCTTTATCATTCCTGTTCATTGTTATCCTTGTCTTTTCCAAGAACTCATTCTGTTTCTTTCGAAAGCTCTTCCATATTTTCTTTATATAGGTCTTGAATCCCTAACAATATCATAATGTTCCTCCTCCAATTTGACACTGCAGACATAATTTTTTTTATGATATACTCATAACTCGTCAAGGTATCTGAAAGACCAATCAATTAGTTGACCATTTCATATGATCTCTTCTTCTGGAACTGTCTTATCATTTCTCCTTGAAAACAGTTAAAAATAGCATGTTTATAATTCAGGTTCTTGAGTGCTTACCACTCACCACAATCAATACTCCTGTGCAATACTCAGCCTTCCTTATGCACAAATCACCAAAAACTTCTCGTAGGCATAAATATGATTCACTTGTTCACAACAACATTGTTCCATAACCAATTTTATGCCAGATGATATCCTCCAGTGCTTAGATCTTGGCACTTTCCAAGGATGTGCTTTCCTTATCAGTAAAAATAAGTATAAGGTAAGATAACACTTTGCCATTCAGTACATGTATCCTGAATGGCTTGGCAAGTGAGAAGAGATGGATTTTTGTCGCTTGTTTTTTTATGATGAGTTGTACATCATGAAATGTGTAATAGCATTTTCAGGAAGAATTTCTGCTGAAATAAAAACTTGAGCATCATACAAAATTTCCTGAAAGAGAGACAAAGAGCTGTGTATTAGCTTGATTAGCACTGTTTCTATAAAGTCAAAGTTGGTCCCATATCCGATCTGGACATAGGGGACATGTTTTGCAAAGAAACAAGCTTACTAAGCTGCGGGATGATGCGGTAGGGTGGCCAGTTCCTTTCCGCCCCGACTTTGACCCCAGTATGCTGACGTCAGCATACCAGTACTCATTCACAGCTGAGTCAACTGAGAAGGGCAGCCGGGCGTGAACCCAGGACCATGCGATTGCAAAGCTAGCGCTCTACCACTGAGCTATGTCACCTCTACTGTTTCTATACAAATCTCAAATATTAGATTTGCATAAGAACCATAAACACTACCATACAATTCCTGATCTTGATTCATCAGATGGAATAAAGGTTTATATGTGTACCTCAGGATTCCTTCCATCTCCTATGACACAAGTTTTTGTTTCAGGCTATATTACCTAGATTTATTTTTATTAGCTTCATGTGTACAGATAATCAACTCCAGATAATCACAGAAGGTAGGAAATATTTCTTCTGTTAAATGCATTTGTTCCCAGACCTCTTAATCTTATTATAATCTTCGTGGTACAATTATCCAAATAATTTTCATACAAATAAGTGCCAATATTACAGTCTCAAGTATAAGTGACAACATGCCCAAATTGTAATCCAAATAATCCATGTTTATATCCAAGTTAATACCACCTGGA